AGCTAAAAAGGAGCTTCAGGTGACACTTAAAGCAAAAACCATCTTAAAACAGAATTTCACTTATAGCAGAACTAAACCCATTGATTTAAAGTTTAAAAAAAAAACAGGTACATTGCCGGGAATGCGAACTGTCACATTTGCTTGTGTTCTCACCCGAACAGTCAAATCATCAAATGGCTGGTGTTATAACTGATCACATGTGCAGCATCATGGTAGTCGCAGACAAACAGAGGGCTAAGATTATAGCTTCCTACTGACATGTACCCTCTCCTACGTTTGCAATTTGTGCCTAGGCAAAACATATGGAAGGTCCCTGCCCGCAACCTCCTGGGACATGTGATGTGTCCCAGGAGGCTATGGGACCAGCGCAGTGTGTCTTGTGCATGTGCAGTGGGTAGTGGCAGTGAAACAGAAGGAAGTCACACATGACATCCGACAGTCAGGATGTCAGCACCAGGGAGCTGAAGACCATCAAGGAACCAGCCTGAACCTGAACTCCTGGTCTGATAAGTGTTTATTTATAAAAGTCATCAGCTACAGTATTTGTAGCTGCTAACTTTTATTTTTTTAATAATAGACATAATTTAAAATGGTTGTAAACCCTTACATATACCCAGGGAAGTGACTAACCTCAGGTGATACACAGAGATGAAACAAATCCTCCTACTAAAGTTGTACCTGTTTATCTGCTGTCTTTTCTTTTGTACATCCATATTTAAAGTGCAGAATTTATAAAGCTTGTCTGAGAGTTCAGAAAAAAAGGGAGTCAGAGAGCTGAAATTACACGCTGCAGAACTCAGTGAGGGGAGCTCTGAGAGAGCACACAGGAATAAGGCTCCATGCACACGGGGCATTTTAATAACGCTAGTAATGTTAGCTGTGTAAAGTCACGTTAAAAACATTAGTTTTCAGCATTTTTGCATTAGCGTTTAGCTGCGTTTTTCCACGTTTGCGGTTTTTAGCATTTTGTGTGCTCAAATAAAGTCCAAAAACGCTGATTGTCCGCATTTTACCGCTTTTTTTCAGCATTAGAGCATTTTTACAGCTAAAAAATCTTTTAGAAACCCACTAGTTCTGGGGTTTTTTTCCAACCAAAAAACGCTGATTACAGTCTGTGTACATGGACACATAGGATACCATGCTGGGGGGTTTACTGGCTGTAGAAAAAAAAGTCAAAAACCAAAAACAGCAGCTGTAAAAGAGGCCTAAAGCTGAGGCTGTCATTCTGCTGGAGGTTCCTCCCCGTCACCTTTTTTTCTTAGTATCAGAAGTGACTCATGCTGATAGCAAAGGAATGAAGTAGCAGACAGAAATGACCCTTAAGGGTTTATTTAATAAAGCTGAAGAGTGCAAAATCAGGCTCACTTCATCATAGAAACCAATCAGCTGCCAGGTTTTATTGACAAAGCTTATTTGAACAACCCTAGGTTAGAAGCTGAGCCTGATTTTGTGCTCTTCAGCCTTAGTAAATAAACACCTTTGTGCTGTTGAGACAAGTACACACTATAGTGGGATATGCTTTGCTCATACATTATATGCTTTGATGATATCCTCAGGTTTACAACCACTTTAACTTGACTTTAACGTAATTTGATTTTAAGTATTAACCGCTTCCCAACTGCGCTATAGCCAAAAAGTGGCTACAGCATGGTTGTCCAGTTCTGGGAGGGCGTTCATGGACGTCCTCCCAGAACACGCCCCCAGCGGCGCACACCCTGTGCTGTCGGTGATCGCTGTGTCCAATGACACAGCAGATCACCAGGTAAATATAGTTGCCGGTTATTGGCTGCACTTTCCTCACGCTGTGACAGGGGAGATCTGCACTGCTGCCCAGCTGTGCCCAGCAGTGTCACCCATCAGTGCCCAGCAGTCACCCATCAGTGCCCAGCAGTGTCACCCATCAGTGCTCAGGAGTGTCACCCAGCAGAGCCAACCATCAGTGTCACCCATCAGTGCCGCCTATCAGTGTCACCCATCAGTGCCGCCCTGCAATGCCGCCAGTCAGTGCCGTCTGCCAGTGCCACCCATCAGTGCTGCCCATCGCTGCCTATCAGTACCGCCTATCAGTGTCGCGTTATCAGTGCCCATCATTGTTGCATATCAGTGCATCATCAGTGCTTCCTCATCAATGGCCACCAGCGTTGTCTCATCAGCGCTGCCTCATCCTTCCCATCAGTGCTACCTATCGGTGTCACCTCATCAGTGTCCATCAGTGCTGCCTATCAGTGCCCATCAGTGCTGCGTATCAGTGCAGCCTCATCAAAGCATATCAGTGAAGGAGGAAAATTACCTGTTTGCAAAATTTTAAAATAGAAACAAAGAAAACCTTTTTTTTTTTCAAATGTTTTGCTCTTTTTTGTTTATAGTGCAAAAAAATAAAAATGTAGTGGCGAGTAAATACCACCAAAGAAAGCTCTATTTGTGTGAAAAAAAGATAAAAATTTAATTTGGGTACAGTGTAGCATGACTGCGCAATTGTCATTTAAAGTGCAACAGCACTGAAAGGTGAAAATTGTCCTGGGCAGGAAGGGGGTAAAAGTGCCCTGTAGGGAAGTGGTTAAGGGAGATGAAAACTCCCAATTTCCCTCATATCAATAGGTGACTGATAATACCTTACCAGGCTTTCTGCTACAGTAAAATCACACTGCAGTGTCTTTGGCTCTGGGCTGATGGGGTATTGTGCCCTAGGTCAGGAATGCAAATTGAAATGATGGATATTAACATTTGTATTCTGATATTCTTGCAATTTTTCATTGGTTGTATTGCTAACGGGAGTTCTTTGGGATCCAGAGAGATCATTTGTTTATAAATTCTTTTTGTTTTAGTGGTCTTTTAATATTTTGGATGCAAAAATACTATGGGGTATATTTATAAAGTAGAAAAAATGTCTTTCACCGGACATTCACTGGTAGTTAATCAATCGATGTAACTTAAAACACATGTATTTACCTGCAGTGAATGTTTGGAGAATTTCAGATTTGCTACTTTATAAATACACCCCTAGGTGTGAGAAATATAGCTCACATTTGTATTTTACTTCTAAAGGATTTTGAGCTGTATCGTGACGTAAAGATGAACGTAGTAAATTTGTTGGAAGATGTGTTACGTGACCCTGATCTCCTACCCCAGGAAAGGAAAGCTGCAAGTAACATACTAAGGTAAGTGCAATTTCTTTCTTAGAGTACTAGGGGGTAGAACTACCGTATATTTTAAGTTCATGCTATGCCTGGCACATTTGCAGTAATTCTGCCATCAGCCAGGCTATATGAATATTCACCTCTAGAATGCACAGTAGATAATAGCAAAGCTTCTTCTGGATGGTATAGTCAATGCTGAGTAAAGAAAGAAGAAATGTTTGCTTGTGCTTTAAAGTGAGCATATGCTTTGCCCATGCTAGAGCAGTATAAAGCCACAAATGTCCTAATATGAGTTTTGTGCTTCCATTTAGGAATTTGTTAAAGTGGGTAAGGAGGGTATATGTTGCTTTGCACCACACTGTTCCATAAATGAAAACTGTATTATTACTTTTTTTTATAAATTCTTATTATAAAGTTTTTCATTACAGTTACAAAAATAAAGAGTTAGAAAATCACAAGATAATTGATGTTACTTGTGACAGGCAAACATTTGGGCTCCACTCCTAACCTCTCACTACTCAGAACTCTTAATATTGTTTGAAGTTGTAATTTAAAGCAGTATTGAACCAAAAACCTGAAATATAATATATTGCAGGTTATCAATCATTAGATGTGGTCACTTCATTTTTTTTTCTTATTTTAGGCTTTTTTCCCCTCTGTTTCACCTGGTGATCTGGCCAGTAACATACCTCCTGTATTAGAGTGTTCTCACTTTGATGAATGAGCACCAGCGGCACATTTACAAAGCACAATTGTCAGTCTAGGGGGAGGGGAGTGTTTAAAGTATTAGGAGATTTAAATACACTAAGAAATTGAAGCCAAACTCGAGCTAACACTTTATAAGCAGTTGCAGCAATTATTTTTTTTCCTTTTGGGATAAAGATTTTACATAAATAAAAGATGATCATTGTACGCACCCCTGTCAGTGGTAAATGGTTTGTCTCATCCCTGTAACTGATACATTATGTTGAAGAGCTTGATCTTTTGAAAAACAACATTTTTACTGGCTGGATCATCAGATGAAAAAAAGAAAGAAAGAAAAAAACAAAAACAAATGCAGCGATCACAAGTGATAAGCTACAATATAATAAATGTTTGCTTTTGGGATCAATGCCACTGTAAGTAAAGCAGATGACTGTGTATCTAACACATAGGTATATCAAATGCAAGACACTCTAATCGCAGCAGTAAAGGTATAATCATATCAACAGCAGAGGATGTTCCAATAATGAACTCAATAGTTATATCTAGGGAAAAGGGACTTTTTAGTGGGAGAAGCATCCCATATCACTACTGCGTAGAATTATTTCTTAGTTAAATTGGGAAGTAACTTCTAAGAGCAGAGAGCCTTAGTTCAATGCTGCAGGGTCCAAGGACTCCAGCCATGGGGACCATATTTTTTTCAACTTGGTCAAACATTCTCAGCTGTTATAGGGGGTCCTATATAGCGAGAGATTAACATTTATCAAGGTTTTCCATTTACCCAAAGTTGGAGGAGTTGGGGATTTCAAAAGGGGCACAACTGTTTTATTATCATAGAATAAAAATAGGCCAAGTAGTGTTCAGTTCAATTTTTCTGATAGCCATGGGTTCTGCCAGGCCCAATAGACAGATTCCAGAATCCTGGGAGATCGAGATGTTAGTCAGAGAAGTAATATGATGCAAAACTTGAGTACAGTAGGCACCTAACTGCGATAGAACTTTAAAATGGTGACTGTAATTCGGTTTATACATAACTTATACATCATTAATAATAAGTTGCTCATTTAATACATTTTGTAACACAGCAAATTAATCGCTGCCAATTTTTATATCAGTGGCCTTTCTCAGGATGAACAAGATGACTGCCATTTGATTATGGAGGACATAATTGCACTAGTAAGTATACTTCATTAATGCATATGCCTCTTTAGGTGACTGTGTCACTAAATGGAAAAAGAAGCCCAGTCTGTAAAGATAATGACTACTTACCTGTCCCAACACCCACACCACTGATCTTGGCTCTGTTACAGAGCTATGGTGGCTGAAAATCTTCTACATTCAAAACACTTCCAGATGTGTCAGATACTTGGTCCACCTCTGCACATTGTGGTTCTATCCACCAGCTTCTACAGTGACTGGTAGTGACTTAGGGGCCAGCTAAAGGAACCACAGCATGTAGAGGGGGACCAATCTATCTACCAGAATTGTATCATTGCTGAAGATACTTTAGCAAGCTTACCTCTGCAACAGAGTGAAGATCAGTGAAAACATTTTCAACTCAATAATCTTAATATATCTTAATATATTTTTTTTTCCCAAATTGATCATAGTTAAAAGTTTAAAAATGTATTTCTATATATGGTGCCAGAAGTAAACACTGTCTTTTTTGAAAAGATAGATAAATAATTCTCATTTATTTCCTAAATCTGAAATTAGTAATGAAACGTGTGTAAAAACTTGGCTGGGTAATTAACTGAATGTATGACTCAATCTGTTTTACCAGAAGTTGTACTTAAAGAACCACAGCAGTCCAGAATTTATCATTGAAGATACTTTAGCAAAGCTTTCCTCTGCAACAGAGTGAAGATCAGTGAAAACATTTTTTCAACTCAATAATCTTAATATATCTTAATATATTTTTTTTTCCAAATTGATCATAGTTATAAAGTTTCAAATGTATTTCTATATATGGTGCCAGAAGTAAACACTGTCTTTTTTGAAAAGATAGATAAATAATTCTCATTTATTTCCTAAATCTGAAATTATGTAATGAAACGTGTGGTGGTCATAAAATGATGACTAATCTGTTTTATTGTTTTCAGTCAGAAGGTCCCCCCACAGAATATCTGGATACTTTGTCAGCAATGGAATTAGCTGAGCAGATCACTCTATTAGATCATATAGTATTTCGAAGTATACCGTACCAGTAAGTCGCTACCATTTAGACCTGCACTTGGAGAGACCATATGTTTTCTGAATTACATGATATTTTTTATTTTGCTTCTAGAGAATTTCTTGGTCAGGGTTGGATGAAACCAGATAAGATAGACCGGACACCATATATCATGAAAACCAGCCAGCATTTCAATAATGTACGTATTTACATCTATTCTGTGCTGCTACTTGTTGTGTTGATGTGTTTCTGAGTCTTGGCTATGTGATATTTTATTATAGTTGAAGTATCAGTCCCACCATAGTGGTAATAATAGCTCCAGGTAGTTACTAATTTGATGTAATTATCTGTGGCTTTGTTTTTAAATTTTTCTAGGAATCAAAAAACAAGATCTGTGCACTTATGGTCATCAACCTGCTACAGGTTCAGAAAATGCACCACAACTGTGGGACGTAGGGAAGAAGTTTATGGCAAAGCACAGCTAACCCACATCAAAACTGTGGGTACACTGCGCTGTATCCACTCTGTGGCCAAAGCACAGCAGGGCAATATGAAGTCATTGGAATGTAAATAAGAGAATCATTAGCAGTTGTCCTAGTAAAGTACCAGTACTATATTAAAACTAAAATGATTAAACTATTAAAATTGAACCATGTAAAGCAGTTTACCAAAATGGTTAAATTCTAGGCATGGTGTGAATGATATCTGTCACAAGTGCTTGTGCTCTCAACTGAGCTGTCAAGCCATCAAAGGGCTGGTGTCATAACATATCACATGTGCAGCACCATGGCAACTGCAGATCAGAGACAAAGATGGCAATCCCGTGGCTGTACAGGATAGGAAGGTTTAGTTCTGCTTTAAAACCTAAAACTGCCACTTCTTACAATAGATCGAATGGGGGCAGTTGAGGCAATAACAGGCAGGTATGCAATGCTCATGGCCATGGAAAAGTCTAAGATCACCCAGTGACCACCTGAAAACAAGTCACTTTTCATCTACTGGAATTTCCTCTATTACCATTTATGGTGTGTGGTTTGCAGGCAGTTGAGCCACACACTCATTGCCCACCAGTAGCCATGTCAGCGAGTAACATCCTTAGAATCATCAGTCACCTGCAAAGATTCGATACATTCTTTTGACCCAAGTGGCAGTCACTTGAATTGGCAGAAAATAAACACACTTGGTTATTTTAATGTTTACAGTGATTTATCTGCCATACTGATTTCATAAGAATTATGATTAATTGATAGGAACCAAAAAGCTATAGGGGTTTATTTACTAAAACTGGAGAGGGCAAAATCTGGTGCAGCTCTGCATGGTAGCCAATCAGCTTCCAACTTCAGCTTGTTCTCAATTAACCGCTTCCACGCTGCCCTATAGCAGAAATACTGCCACAGGGCAGCTCGGGTGCGCAAAATCACGTACAGTTGATATAAAAAAGTCTACACACCCCGGTTAAAATGTCAGGTTTCTGTGATGTAAAAAAATGAGACAAACATAAATCATTTCATAACTTTTTCCACCTTTAATGTAACCTATAAACTGTACAACTGTTGAACAACAAACAAATCTTTTAGGTGTAGGGAAGTAAAAATAAAAAACTAAAATAATATGGTTGCATAAGTCTGTACACCCTTTAACCATTTGCCGCCCGCCCTATGGCCGAATGGCGGCCGGCAAATGTCATCAGCGTTCCGGGTGGACGCCATATGGCGTCCTCCCGCACATGCGCAGATTGCGCTCCTGCAGAGCCGCGCAGCGGCACGATCTGTCACCGGCCGTGTACCTCGGACACGGCCGATGACAGATCTGAGTATCGTCCCCCGTTGTCGGTACCATGTGACCTGCTTTGACCATTAACAGCAGGTCACATGACAGTTGTATACAATGGATGGCTTCATTCATGCCATCCATTGTATACTAGTGTCTAGCTGTGAATGGTCACAGCTAATCACATGCACATGTCATGTGATTAGCTGTGGCCAAATCACAGCTAAGCACAAAAAAAAAAAAAACCCTGAATAAATCGATGTCATTCAGGTAAATGCTTGCTTATAGCAAAGTAATTCTTTGCTATAAGCAAATTGTGGAAATAAATAAATAAAAAAATAAAAAATACTGATCACTTCCCCAAAGTAGTACAATGTTACTATGGTAACCTTCTACTACTTTGGTCATAGTGAAATATGAAAAAAAAATCTTTAAAAAAAGAAAAAAATGTAATAAAAAATTAAAAATAATAAAAGAATTTAAAAAAATATATATATTTTTTTTTTTCATACTGTCACCAGTCAGTGTTCCTGATCACTGCCATGCCAGTTATATGATGACGCTGTACTGCACTGGTGACAATATGTAAAAAAAAAATAGTGAAACTAATTTTTTTAATTTTCCGAAAAATTATGACAAAAAAAATACAACTTCAAAAAACTCGCCATGCCTCTTATGAAGTACGTCCGACTGTCTACTTTGCAAAAAGGGGTAATTTGGGGGATATCTGTACTATTCTGACATTCTTGGACCTCAAGAAATAAGATTGGCTGTCAGTACTTCAGGATTGATCAATATTCAGATATATCCCATAGTTTGTGAACTCTATAACTTTCCTACAAACTAAAAAATACATCCTAATTTGGGTTATTTTCACCAAAGACATGTAGCAGAATACATCTTGGCCTAAATTTATGAAGAACAATTATTTATTTGCAAACTTTTATAACAGAAACAAAGAGAAACGTGTGTTTTTTTTCAAAATTTTTGGACTTTTTTTGTTAATTTAGCAAAAAATAAAAACCCCAGCGGTGATTAAATACCACCAAAAGAAAGCTCTAGTTGTGTGAAGAAAATGATAAATTTTAGTTTGGGTACAATGTTGTATGACCGCGCAATTGTCATTCAAAGTGTGAGAGCGCTGAAACCTGAAAACTGGCCTGGGCAGGAAGGTGTAAAATTGCCCGGTATTGAATTGGTTAAACTAATACTTTGTTGAAGCACCTTTTGATTTTATTCCAGCACTCAGTCTTTTAGGTATGAGTCTATCAGCATGGCACATCTTGACTTGGCAATATTTGCCCACTCTTCCTTGCAAAAACACTCCAAATCTGTCAGATTGCGAGGGCATCTCCTGTGCACAGCCCTCTTCAGATCACTCCACAGATTTTCGATCGGATTCAGGTCTGGGCTCTGGCTGGGATATTCCAAAATTTGAATCTTCTGGTGAAGCCATTCCTTTGTAGATTTGGATATATGCTTTGGGTCGTTGTCATGCTGAGCTTTCTAGCAGAAGCGTGAATGTTTTGTGCCGATATTGACTGGTATTTAAAACTGTTCATAATTTCCTCTACCTTGACTAAGGCCCCAGTTCCAGCTGAAGAAAAACAGCCCCAAAGCATGATGCTGCCACCACCATGCTTCACTGTGGGTATGGTGTTCTTTTGGTGATATGCAGTGTTGTTTTTGCGCCAAACATATCTTTTGAAATTATGGCCAAAAAGTTCAACCTTGGTTTCAACAGAACATAACACATTTTCCCACATGCTTTTGGGAGACTTCAGATGTGTTTTTGCAAAATTTAGCCGGGCTTGGATGTGTGTCTTCATAAGAAAAGGCTTCCGTCTTGCCACTCTACCCCATAGCCCAGACATATGAAGAATACGGGAGATTGTTGTCACATGTACCCCAGACCAGTTTTCTTTTCGTCTTTTCATAAATTTTGGAGGGATGTCCAATTCTTGGTTGTGTCATATTTTCTCCACTTGATGATGACTGTCTTCACTGTGTTCCATGGTATATCTAATGCCTTGGAAATTCTTTTATACCCTTCTCCTGACTGATACCTTTTAACAATGAGATCCCTCTGATGCTTTGGAAGCTCTCTGCGGACCATGGCTTTTGCTGTAGGAAGTGACTAAAAAAATGTCAGGAAAGACCTACTAGAACAGCTGAACTTTATTTGGGGTTAATCAGGCACTTTAAATGATGACAGGTGTGTATTGACTCCTATGTAACATGATTTTGAATGTAATTACTTAATTATGAACACAGCTACATCCCCAGTTATAAGAGGGTGTGCACACTTATCCAACCACATTATCTTAGTTTTTTATGTTTATTTCCCCCCTAAAATGTTTCAGTTTGTTTTTCAATTGAGTTGTACAGTTTATAGGTCATATTAATGGTGGAAAAAGTTCTGAAATGATTTATCTTTGTTTCATTTTTTTACATCACAGAAACCTGAAATTTTAACAGTGGTGTGTAGACTTTTTATATCCACTGTATATATATGTGATTTTGCAGATCTGGGTAGGGGGCCATTCGAGGCCTCGGCTGTCAATCACCAGGTCCCGGCCAATGATTCCCCGCCGGCACCCGGCGATCTCTGAGTATTACCAACAAAGGAGAGACCTGTGTATAAACAACACAGATCTCTCCCCTGTCAGTTCCTGCAAAATGCTTTATAGCAGAGCAATACAAAGCAGTGTGAAACAGCACATAGTTTTTTAAATTTTTTACTGGACATGTTTGATAGCAAAAAGTAAAAAATATAGATTTTTTTTCAAAATTGTCGGTCTTTTTTTTTTTATAGCGTAAAAAAATAAAACGCGGAGGCGATCAAATACTACCGAAAGAAAGCTCTATTTGTGGGGAAAAAAAGACGTAAATTTCATTTGGGTGCAGCCTTGCATGACCGCACAATTGTTAGTTAAGGTAACGCAGTGCTGTATCGCAAAAAATGGCCTGCTCAGGAAGGGGGGTAAATCCTCTGGAGGGCAAGTGGTTAAGCTTTGACAAAAGAAAAAACAGAAGCGGATTGGTTTCTATGCAGATTTGCACCAGATTTTGCACTCTCCTTTTTTATTAAAATCAACCCCATTGTGTTTCAGGAGGTGTTGAGGACCTCAATGTCAGATATTTGATAATTGTATCATTGGTAGGCACATTCCTGATCCAGAATAATATAAAGTATATTGTACATCTCAAGCTTAGTGGATCTGCCCACGTATGAAAATTCTTTATTTATACCGTCATGGTCATGTTTTCTTTCTTCTATGTCCTTTGCATGTATGAATCCTATAGATGAGTAACCTTGTAGCATCAGAAATTATGAGCCACCCTGATGTCACCTCCAGAGCCAGCTCCATTGAGAAGTGGGTGGTGGTAGCTGATATCTGCCGATGCATGCACAACTATAATGGAGTGCTGGAAATCACTTCAGCCTTGAACAGAAGTGCAATCTATCGACTTAAGAAAACCTGGGCCAAAGTGTCTAAACAGGCAAGTAAAGCCAGAATTCCATCTGCAGTACACAGGACGACATCAGGGATCTGTTGAGATGTCTTAATAAAGAAAGTGTGTGAACACATGAGGGACAGGTTAGAGGTTACTCCCGAGGTATACTGTGATCATGTGATCATCTAAGAGTGACAAAATGATCTCATGGCAATCTGATTTCTCCATGGGTCCCCAGAGCTTTCTCATGAGAGCACATGCATAATGTCATGAAAGAGGATTGCCAGTCCACTCGTCACAGTATTAGCATTGAAGGGCATGTAAATCCAAAACATTTTTCTTTAGTGCTGGATGAGGAATGATTAAAAACCCATGTAAGGTTTTTATTGCTGTCAGTCCTGATCCCCCAGGGAAACCTTCCAGTGGGGACATTTGTCCCTCACTTTGGAGAGATTTCTTCATATTTGCTGTTATTTCTGCAGGACAGGAAACAAAAAAAAATCTCCCCAGTCAAGACAATTAGCAAAAACAAAAAAAAAAAAAAAAACACGAAAAAGTATTGACTTACAACCTGCAGATGTACAAAATAAAGCTCATTCCACTAGACTCGTATGTTTAATACTAATTTAAGTGGTATAATTTAGTATAATGCTAAACAAGTGAAGTTGTCAAGGTTTTGCAATATTTTATATACAGCTTTCTGTTTCACTGTTTCACAAACATTAATAGTTTGGAATCTAGATGTGTGTTATTTAATAACTGAGTAAAATCTCATCTTTTATATTTAGCTGGAATATTAGAAATTATATTTTGGTGTGTTTTTTAGTGATCATACAGTTGAATGAAACATTTGTGTAAGTAGCTTGGACATACAAAAGAATAATGCAATTGAATGTTGTATGTTTCTTGACTTCATGAACCATATGTTCTGTAAAGTGTGATGTATTAGTGCCGGAGAATAATGAATAATTGGCTTTGGTATCCTAGGTACAAAAAAATTGTATTATCTAGCTCATGGCAGGGAACTATGCGCTATGAACTATGATTTGACCTAATGGATAAACATTTTTATTTTTAGACAAAAGCACTTATGGACAAGCTTCAAAAGACTGTCTGTTCGGAGGGCAGATTTAAAAAAACCTAAGAGAAACTCTAAAGAAGTAAGTTTTATAGAGAAATATGTGCTACTCTAGGCCAAGCACTGCTTCCCGCAAGCCTGGCCAAAAAAAATACCATTTGGAGACATCCGCCCTGTCCCGTATAGAAACTAGGATGTGAGATCCATTGAGCAGGCCAACAGCATCACAGGATTGAACATTCTCTCTTTTTCCCACAAACTGATATTCTCTTTGACCTATTGGCTTCAGCTCTGCTGCATTACAGCTAAGAGGTCATAGGTTTTTAAACCTTCCTCTTTATATGTCATTTTGCTCTTATATCAACATAGGGGGAAGAAGCCATCTCTACACAGATCAAGGTGTCTTCTTTCAGTGCTGTACCTTCTCGTGACAGATACATTTTTTAAAGCAAATACAGAGTGGGCGATAATAGAGCAGAAGAGAAGGAGGATAGGGAGGGATAGAACAGCACTATTATACGCATGATTCCTGGCAGAGAGCTTCTTATGAGGAGGTGATGGTAGCATTGTACTCATTGCCTTCCACTAATGCAGACCCTGGGCAAGATGGCATTCAGGTAACATGAAATGTCAGTAATGCTAAGGTAAAATAGTTTAGCAAGTATGCACGCATTCACAATTTTTAACTTGCAATTAAAAAAAGTGTTTGTCACCAGGTGAAAATAAAGGAAAACCGCCTAACAAAAAAAATAAAATAAAATAAAATAAATGCAGCCACCATATTTTAGAATTGCAATATATTAAATTTTTGTTTTGGGATTTATGGGTGTATACTGCTTTAAGACCAGCCCTGAGTTGGTGTACAGAGATATGCCAGTACACAGAGTGGGGTATGTCTGTTTTGGGAAGCTGTCATGAATGTGGCATCTTCCTTCACAGGGTTCCATCCATGGCTCCATTGATTTGTCGGATGGGAGATCCCTCGGCTGAAAGCTGAATGTGACCAAGGGGGGCTAGGGATGCAGGTGATGCCATTACTCAAATATGGCAGTGGTCATATTAGGGAAATTACTTAATCACAGGGTAGACAGATCTAATGGGGAACTAGCCACCGTGACTGCAGCACATGTTGGATGGGCAGAGACTAGCTTTCCATCAGGTCTGCCTTGCTTTTGATTGACAAACAGATGTCAGTGGGCAGATTTGAAAGCTGCTGTTGGATTGAATAGTGGACAGGCATCTGCCAAGTGCCATGCGTTGTCAATCACAGGCAAACTGGACCTGATGGGAAAATAGTTCTCCTTGGCCCATGCTGCTAAATAAAAAAATACTCAGCCTTGCAGATGTCCTTGTTACGAGTGCAGAGGCTGGGATGGGAACGCACGGGGTAAAAGTGTCCAGTATGCATACTCCAACATCAGTGCTGGTCTATCTGGTAAAACATGGACAATTTTGGTGCAAAGGCTTGACAGAATTCTTTGTCCTAAATGTCCCCATTGTGTAGTTAGAGCAGATATTAAAAATGTGTTTGTTTTTTTATTCTGTATGTTTTGCAGCTGTAATCCACCGTCTGTACCCTACCTGGGAATGTACCTTACTGACCTGGCGTTTATTGAAGAAGGCACACCCAACTTTACAGAGGAAGGCCTTGTAAACTTTTCAAAAATGAGAATGGTGGGTGCCTTCTCGGTATTATAAACTGTACTCAAACCAAGCTATTTTAGCTAGCTTTTTATTACACAAGGCTAACCTATATATGATATGAAAGTTATTTGCTCCTATGCCTCTATTTCACCGACATTTCCTTCCTTGATTACAGGCAGAACCTGTTCATGTACCATACACAATGTGAGCTCATGGTCTGAGTTTATTTCAGAAACAAGATCACCTTGCTTGTTCATGTATGTCAATCTAAGGAATTACGCTTAGTGCCATTTCACAGTAGGAATTGCACAGGAAAGTGCTGCATATTCCTGTGCAATTCACATGTGGTTCAGTGCGGTGCAATTTGAGCCCATTCATTCTGAATGGGCTCAGATCGCACTGCATCCCACCAAAAGTAGTGCATGCACTAATTTTGGAAATGCACTGCAACCGGATCACATGGCACTTCTGTACCATGCGATCCTGTGCAGGCAAATTAGCAACCTGCATTTGGAGTGTCATTAGCTTAACATTGACACCTGCTGCTGATCCCAACTACTGTATAAAAGGAGAGTACAGCGCTAAAAATACTAAAACAGTAAAATTCTATTATGAAAGTATAAAGTCCATATAATGAATAAAAACGACATAAAAGGCATAAATGGTTAACAGTTCAAAGGTGACTTTCAGTGCTCCTAAAGTGCCAGTTTCCTTGGTAAGTCAGTGCTTGTGTATAAATTGTGGAAGAATTGCGCACTCACCGGATGCGCAGTATAAATGCGCATATAGATAAATATCCAGATGTCATCAGGGAATCATCAAAACAGGCCAGGTGTTGGAGTAACTTCCCTCTAAGGGTGGATGGACCCTGGGGCTTTAAATTGTGATCCAAGGACAACCAGAGCTCCCCTTAAGGGATGGATGGGTGCAGCTCACAGGGTGAATAGGAGGCTCCCTCTCTGGATACTGGATGCTGGGTTACTCTGGGTATCTAAAAATCAATACTCCTCAAGGGAGTTTAAAACAGAGAAATGCCCATAGTGTAGTAGAGTATAAACATAATTTATTGGGGGGTTCTTGAGTAAAAGATGCATCAAATAGTAATAAAAACAAGCAGTGCCTGGACTAACCGTCCACAACTAAAGATGGCCACCGGAGCTCCACGATGCTCTGGCTGCGTGACCTCATGGCGTAATTGGCTCCTCCTCCGCTGTGACATCACTCCACCGGAGCATTGTGGAGCTCCGGCGGCTGGCGGCCATCTTTAGTTGTGGACAGTTAGTCCACGCACTGCTTGTTTTTATTATTATATGATCCTATTCACCCTGTGAGCTACACCCATCCATCCCTTAAGGGGAGCTCTGGTTGTCCTTGCATCATCATTTAAAGCCCCAGGATCCATCCACCCTTAGAGGGAAGTTACTCCAACACCTGGCCTGTTTTGATGATTCCCTGATGACATCTGGATATTTATCTATATGCGCATTTATACTGCGCGTCCGGTGAGTGCGCAATTCTTCCACAATTAATGCACAAGCACCGACTTACCAAGGAAACTAGCACTTTAGGAGCACTGAAAGTCGCCTTTGAACAGTTAACCATTTATTCCTTTTATGTCGTTTTTATTCATTATATGGACTTTATACTTTCATAATAGAATTTTACTATTTTAGTTTTTTTAGCGCTGCACTCTCCTTTTGTACTGTTTGATTGAGGTTTGGTTACCTTTTGTGCACAGCTTCTGTTATTTTTCCCCAATTTTAGTGCGCTCACATACCCTTACCATACTGATCCCAACTACAGTGTGTTTTGAACACAACGCGGGAAATGTGCATGGAACTTTGGCCTAAATGTGTATTTAACCTCTCCAAATTCACGGACATCCCTTCTTAGACAGTTGTGACCAGAACTCCCAATTGGAAGATTTTTGCTCTGTTCCTGATCTGGTGACATCCTCCCTCATTTTCAAATCCAAGGACAACAACCACAAAGATACATAGAGAAGGTGAATCCCCCCAGACAGCAGACTGCAAAAAAACTTGGCAGGTGATCTAATCATTCCCCACTCTATCCAAAACTAAAAAAAAATTATTTTTGCTAACCCACCATCCTATTCTTAGCATTCTATAAAAAGTACAAGGGTCCCCACATGATACTCATAGCCTACAGCCAAACCCCAGTCTTGCTATTGTTTACATTGCTAGGTGAATAGTTCAGATAGTCCAGACTCTCCAGCAACCACATGAGATGCGTTGACAGGAAAAATACCTTTGTATGAGCACACAATTTAAATTTCTCTATATTCAGGTGCGCTTTGTGTTAGGAATGATTAAAAAACATCTATTGGTCAAACTCAAACAACCTGGAGGGTTGGAAATGTTTAGCTAATAATGTAGTATCCACTACTGTATTGCTCAGTTGTTGTTCATAAGATGTTTACATCATATGTATTAAATGGTAGATGTGCTTTGTGTGTTCAAAAATTGTCAATCATTTGCAAAGATTGTTCATGATTTTCAGACAAAAAATAGTAATAGGCAGCCTGTGAGAGAGACTAAAATGGACTCAAATGGGAAATACTAAGATGTCAAAACTGACATTATGAATCTGTTTGAGAAAGTCCCAGTTTTGAAATGGAGGGAAAAAATAAGCAGTTCCTGTAAGAGGATGATGTAAGAAAGAAAGCTATAGTAATTTTAGTCAGCAAGTGTTTTCTTTGAGGCAATACTGAAAAAGTTGGCTGGCCGAGCTGCTCGCTGTCTGCCAGATTCCACTGAACAGCAGATGGGCAGTGCCTCTAGGTTCCTAGGGGAATCGTAAAGTTTTAGTTCTAGAACTGCCATTCATGAGCCTACCTGTAGAAATAACCAGAAATCTCTTTTTTCATTTCTGCATTAAGTATATATTATTTTCAAGATACTTATCTCCCTGTTTATTTTACCGATTGTTGCAGATGAATATCAATAACCACAGTGTCCTAGTCCATAATTCTAACACCAATCCCCTTATTTTTTAAATGCATACTTTCTGGCTTTTTTAACTTTGAATCATTTTTTTCTGAAAGCTCAATGCCAAATAAGTAAAAGGAAATGTGGCTTTGTACTGTAGTGAACAGTGTAAGAACTCAGCTAATAAGGAGTAACATACTGATGGTCCGGTGACCCCATACTCCACTTTTTGTCAATAGCAATGAATGAACAGGTGTCTGTTAAGCTGACACAATATTTTGTTGCCCACCAGTTTTTGATTTAAAGTTTTAAAAATCAAATTGAAATCACAATTCAAGGTTTTTCTGTATATTCTGCTCTGCTAATATCATCGTTATTATGCTGTCTTCCTATAGATATCGCATATCATTAGAGAAATCAGACAGTTCCAGCAGACACCATACCGAATAGAACACCAACCAAAGGTAATACTCTAACATGGCGTATTTGCAGCATTCCACATTATATATACCAATACTGTATATGAAAGCCAAACATACAAAGTCTTCTAATTCAATCCAAATAAAAATGCATTTATTAATGAAGGAACAAAACATCTACTGGTAGTGTAGAAGTAAATGTACATACACATCTCCCGCTTAGCTACATCAACAACCTAGTGTCAAAGTATCATGTAACCAGTTCTCTCTGCTGCTCTTAAAGTATAGGTGAACCCTCACCTTGTAAAACAACCCATTAAGTTTAAAATAGAATATCTTTTTTCCTCTTTTTTTCTGATAACATAACCTCTGGTCTCAGCTGCATATAAAGGGCTTGGAGGGGTGGGGGTGGAGAAATAGCAATACACTGATCTTCCCAGTGAATGGCCGTGTGGAGGGGGTGTCAGCACAAATCTGATCATTGGAGGACAGGCAGGCTGCTATCCCAGCACAGTCAGAAAACTAAGCATGCTGGAAAGGATGTGCTCTCATGCTTAGCATGGTCAGTTTGATAAAGGAAAGCAGGGGGACTGGTAGGATCACCAGGTATTTCACAAAGACATAGAGAACAGGATACTTTTTAACACAAGTACATGGTACAACAGACACATAACAGGAATATGAAATGTTGGGGTAACATATTCTTTAAGACCTCCTACTCTCTAACTTTCTTGTCAACTCTTCCCTTGCTCACACCCAGGACTTCTCCAGGGCTTGTTCCATTCTCTGGAACCTGTACAGCTATCTCCTACTCTGGCGATCCCTGATAACTCATCTATGCAGGGAAGCCTATCCTGCTGCTGCCTAACAGCTGTACTTTTGCCTTCCCCATCAACTCTTCAACACACAGTTATTACCTTTTGTATCACTTCCTTCCCTTTAGATTGTAAGCACTCATGAGCAGGGCCCTTCGAACCCTATTGTCTTAAATTGTACTGTAAATGTACTGTCTATTTTTATTTTGTAAAGCACTGCACAAACTGTTGCCACAATATACAGTGCATCCAAAAAGTATTCACAGCACTTAACTTTTGCCACATTTTGTTACAGCCTTATTCCAAAATGAATTAAATTCATTTTTTTCCCTCAACATTCTACAAACAATACCCCATAATGACAACGGGAAAGAAGTTCATTTTGAAATCATTGCAATTTATTAAAAATAAAAACACAAAAAAAAAACACATGTACATACTGTAAGTATTCACAGCTTTTGCCATGAGACTCAAAATTGAGCTCCGATGCATTGCTCTTCCCACTGATCTTCCTTGAGATGTTTCCACAACTTGATTGGAGTCCACCTGTGGAAAATTCAGTTGATTGGACATGATTAGGAAAGGCATAAATCTGTCTATATAAGGTCCCACAGTTAACAGTGCATGTCAGAGCACAAACCAAGCCATGAAGTCCAAGGAATTGTCCATAGACCTCCGACACAGGATTGTATCGACACAGATCTGGGGAAGAGTACAGAAAAATTTATGCAGCATTCAAGGTCCCAATGAGCACAGTGGCCTCCATCATCCGTAAATGGAAGAAGTTTGGAGCCACCAGAAATCATCCTAGAGTGGGCAGCCCGACCAAAATGAGGGAGCGAGGGAGAAGGGCCTTTGCCAGGGAGGTAACCAAGAGCGCAAGCATTTCTGTGGAGAGAGGAGAACCTTCCAGAAGAACAACCATCTCTGCAGCACTCCACCAATCAGGCCTGTATGGTGGAGTGGCCAGATGGAAGCCACTCCTCAGTAAAAGGCATATGGCAGTCCACATGGAGTTTGCCAAAAGGCAACTCTCAGACCATGAGTAACAAAACTCTCTGGTCTGATGAAACAAATATTGAATTCTTTGGCCTGAATGCCAAGCGTCATGGCTGGAGGAAATCAGGCACCACTCACCATCTGACCAATACCATCCCTACAGCAAAGCATGGTGGTGGCAGCATCATTCTGTGGGGATGTTGTTCAGTGGCAGGAACTGGGAGACTAGTCAGGATCGAAGAAAAGATGAATTCAGCAATGTATAGAGACATCCTTGATGAAAACCTGTTCCAGAGCACTCTGGACCTTAGACTGGGGTGACGGTTCATCTTTCAACATGACAATGACCCTAAGCACACAGCCCACATAACAAAGGAGTGGCCAACTCTGTGAATGTCCTGGAGTGGCCCAGCCAGAGCCCAGATTTGAACCCGATTGAACATCTCTGGAGAGATCTGAAAATGGCTGTGCACCGACGCTCCCCATCCAACCTGATGGAGCTTGAGAGGTACTGCAAAGAAGAAAGGGAGAAATTGCACAAAAATAGGTGTGCAAAGCTTGTAGCATCATACTCAAAATGACCAAAGGTGCTTCAACAAAGTATTCAGCAAAGGCTGTGAATACTTATGTACATGTGTTTTTTTAGTTTTTTATTTTTAATAAATTGCAAAGATTTGAAAATGAACTTCATGTTGTTATTATGGGGTATTGTTTGCAGAATGTTGAGGGAAAACATTAATTTAATCAATTTTGGAATAAGGCTGTAACATAACAAAATGTGGCAAAAGTTAAGCGCTGTGAATACTTTCTGGATGCACTGTAAACCCTATATAATACTATTAAACTTGAGAAAGTAAGGTACTTTTTATGGCATATATTAGATAAGCAATAAATTAAAGTGGTTTGCTACAGGTTTGTCACCAGCATTTCAGAAAGACAGAACAAAGAGTGAGGGTGATGTACAAAGTGTAATAAATCCATAGCAAGGTCAAAGTGCTTTATACGCAGCTCACAAATAAAGAAGATTTTGTTTGACAGGCAGATGTTATCACTGGCAAGATTTATCTTTGAGTTTAATTTTCCAATAACTCACATAGACACGGCAGCAATAATTTGTGATTAAATTTATATTTGACATATTACAGCAGTTTTCAAGTATGTTAATGGTACTCAGATATATTTGTTGGTCATAAATACTTGTATATGAATTTGTAACTATACATCTATGCCTTGTAAAACAGGTCACCCAGTTCCTGTTGGACACGTCTCACATCCTGGATGAAGACACCCTCTATGGATTATCCTTAACAATTGAACCAAGGCTCCCAGCATGAAGAGTTTCAATGCGTGTTTCTTGAGACAACTCAGTGCTTTCACTTCACCAACTGAATTATGCATGCCATGCCTAGCGGAGAGCAGGGGAGTGACACCCTTTCAGTGGAAGCTGACAGTGCCGCGGGCACTTTAAAACAAAGACGCAAGAACAGGGGTCAGACAATGAAGGTAATGTCTGCGTGCATTGTGCTAGTCACACTAAGAGGATCCCATCAGCACATAAAGCTGCAATGAAGAAGCAATGTTGACCTTGCTGTGAAGAGTTGTGAAGGCAAAAGAGTACAGAAGGCTTGAAATCATCCACTGTGCTAGTCTTATAAACAGCATCCAGTAATTACAGAACGACCACAATGTCTCTATAAGGCGAGATTCGTGACTAGTCAAGTGACATTGTGTTTCTGTAGCGTATTACAGACTGCCATACAAATAACAAGGTTCATTCTCTGCATGGTGGAGTGTATTACCATAACAACATAATGAGGAGAACATGGAGTCACAGATGCTACATTCACTAGTACACTTGTTATTAGCATCGACTTCATACATTGTACCTTCTGTACATATGTGATCAGTACTGCCCCTGTTGTTTGTGATTTTTTTACTTTTATGCACTGAGCATCACAGCTCTGTTTTTAGATGCATCTACTACTGATAATGTGAATATTGGGGATGACTACATACTGCTTGACTGGCCAAGATATACTAGCATTGTGTGTCATTTCTACTGCATGCCATGATATCACACCTGAGACAGTCGCCGACCTACCTGCAAAGAGAAGGAAATAGGAAATGCTTACAATTTTAAGAACCTGTCAGAATTGAAATATGAGAGCTGCCAATACTTAGTCAGAGGTCACCTAAAGTCTGACAGTTGCTGGCCTGTCAGCTACCTCACTTCACATACCATGTCCCATCACAGTGTGCAGGCAGTTCACAGGTAACAGCTGTCAGATTTCAGGTGAATTCTGCCCCCCATAACCTGGATTAAAGTTGAACTACACCAACCAGAAAAACAGTACTTCATTCATTTTTAATATTCAAAGCAAATTCCCCCATCCTTCCATGTTTCCATGCTTTATTTTGTTGAGAAATCACTTTCACAAAGTTGACCTTTAGCATTTCTGGGCATGGTTATCTTGAGTAATAGCAGATGATTGTAGCATTTACTTCTTGTAATCAATCTGCCCTTAGCTTATGCATGCAGGCAGGAGGATGTGCTTAGCTGAGAAAACCCCTCCTGAACAGTCCTGGGATGTACGAGGCATTAAAACCAGGAAGTAACTAAAAAATGTAAAAAAAATTATTAACAAATAGATATTATAAACTTTCCTATCTATTTACTAACACTAGCAGCATAAGGATTAAAATAGTCCATGTTGATTGAAAGTGCAGTTCTGCTAAGCTAAGTAAGGAGAAAATCCAATCTATTTAATATAAAGATAAGGACTGATTCAAATTTTTTGCATAAATGCTCGGTCATAAAGAATTCTCTTTAACTCAGACCGGTGCTTTCGTAATGCATGGCAAAGCAACAGGTTCACTTAAAGAACATGTCTCGCTGCAAATGCTTGCATTAGTTAGATCAAGTCTTTTAGCATTGCATAGTTTTAATAGCAAGTTTATTATCAATCTGGTGTTTTTGGCATGCCAGTCGTTTTGCCAAAATAGGTAGGGAAACATCAAGAAATAAAAATACAGAACTTGTACAAATAAGCTATTCGTGAATTTTGTATGAAAACCCTTTGTGCAGATAGTTAAACATTTCACCAATATTAGAACAGAATTGTATATATTGCAGTTATGATAATAATAGCATTCAGCCCCATCTGGTGATTTTACTTCTGCATAGGGTCAGCCTGTACCAGGGCTGTGTGGATCATTTTATTTGAGTGATAAGCAAAAAAAGAAGGATTTTTTTAAACCAGAGCCTAAAGACTGATCTGCTAAAGGAATGTTCTGAATCAACTTTACAGCTCTCCAGATACAGTCTAAAGCCTGATTTAATGTTTGCACAAAGAGAACTTGATCCTTTAAATTGGTTGTAAGCCTCAGACATGATATGTGAACAAAGCATATTCCTCTATAGCAGTGATCTCCAAACTGTGGCCTTGGGGCCAGATACATCCCTTTGCTTGCTTTTATCTGGCTCTCGAGGCATTATTCCTCCCACTAACACCAACAGTGCGGCAGAATTCCTTCCACTGACAACAAAAATGGGGTACTATTCCTTCCACTGACACCAACAATGGGGTACTATTTCTCCCACTGACACCAGCGATGGGGCATAATTCCTTCCACTGACACCAACTATTTCTCCACCAATATTAAAGATGGGCCATTGTTTACTCCCACTGGGCACAGTCCGCCCCCCCTAAAGTCTGAAGGACAGCAAACTGGCCCTTTCTTTGAGAGTTTGGAGACCCTGCTCTATAGTGTGTACTTGTTTCAATTAAGAGCACTATATGTCATTTCTATCTGCTGCTTCATTTCTCTGCTATCAGCATGACTCAATTCTGACAAGTTTTCCTGACACCAAGAGAAAACAAATGTGGCAGGGCAGGGAGCTCCAGCACACAGCATATGATTGACGGCCTTAGCTCTTCCTGTGAGCTGTGTGGAATGTTTCTTCCCCCCAATCAGCTTTCACAGCTCTCCTCACTGAGCCCTGCAGTGTGTAATTTCAGCCCTTTGCCCCATTTTCTGAACACTTAGACAAGCTTTAAAAATTCTGCACTTTGAACATGTGTAGTGAAGAGAAGACTGCAGATAAACATACAACTTATATAGGAGAATTTGTATCATCTCTGTGTATCACCTGAGGCCACAAGTCACTTGACTGGGTATATGTAAGAGTTTCAGATCGTCTTCTTCAGATTTGGGAGCTCTCATCTTCAGATTTGGGGCCTCCCGTTCTTTCAACCCCTCTATTAACGGATAAGTTCACCTTTCATAACATGTTACTGGTTACATATTCAGGGTGTAACATGTTACGAAATAACTGTCCCCCACTCCCTTGTTTTTACAGATAGCGAGGTATCTTCTCCCCCCACTAGTTGTCACAGTCTTAAAAAAACTTGACCATGTGGGGCTCCCTGTCCACACAGCCATGTCAGTCATTCACAATATATTGTGAATGGGAAAACTACAAGTTCCGACAGCCTTTGTGGCTGCTGGCTTATAGTTCTCAGAGAACTACCATGGCACTGTGGTAGTTCATTGATTCTTCTTGTCAGAGTGAATTTGCTTGCCCATCCGAGGTACAAGCACACAGATACACTGACAGATCTGCAGGAGTCCTGCATGGCACCAGCGATCCGCTGATCGCTGGTGCAATGCCTTACATGCTCCCAAAACAAAACACAGTAAATGCACATTGGTCATCGCTGTTGGAGAAAAAGGTCCTTAGTAGCCTCAAAACGTCCTTCTTTTTGTGGATGGCGAATATATGTCCTGTCTTTGATCTCTGATTATGGTGTGCTGGGGATATCTGCCTTTGCCCTTTGCTCCATAATTACCCCGTGAGAAGAAATACAGGGGAGCTGGACTTCAAGACTTTCACGTGAGGTGGAGAGCAAGTTCTTAGTCCTATGAAAGCTCCAATCAGATTGATTGGGCGATTACACGGAGCTTTTTCTATTTGTCTATGCATGTGAGTGTAGAAGCAGGGGAACCGAAGCTTGGAGGCTGACATGTAAATGAACCTATTGCTTTGCTCTGAATGGGAAAATCACTAGTTCATTTTAAGGCTTGGTTAAGAATAGTCCACCCTAAAGGTATTTATGTCATAGTTCTCTCAAGTGTATAGTCAGGAATCACAATAAAAAGGTAAATACTCTTTATGATAATTGTCCTTCCACATAAACCCATGACAACACATCATTCCCCTAACTTTTACTAATTATTATTAAAAGCATAAATTAGAGGAAATAGTGAGCATTTTAAACTTTTCCGGTGTCATTCCAGGTAGATGGGTCAATTCTCTCAGTTGTGCTGTCATAGAGATTGTATAAATGCATTTTTATTGGCTAGATTAATTTATATTGTCTTGTTTTTATTTTCTTAGTTCCTTTTATTTGTCATTTCCCAGTATATTTTCTTATTATTTGCATTATTGTTTACCAGGTACAAGCTCCCTGTAGGAAATTTCATCCGTGGTAGGAAGGTTCCAGGTGCATACTTTAATACTTTGCAACAAAATGCAAACCAATACAATGAAATTCTGTTGTTCCTTTGATGAATGTATGGAATAATACCTATTATACACTGAATACATAGCTATTGCATATTTTTTTTTACGCAAAGAGTGTGATTGCATGGTTCGTAAAGATGTAGTGACAGATACAGTGGAATTTGTTTTTGAACTGTGAAAAATTTATAGAATGTAGAAGATTCCACTTCCAACCAACAACTCAACCTGAAAAGATAATAGGAACAGGTGCCATGTACAGGCTATTGCCATAGAACACAAACTCTACCCTTGCAGTACCCCCCGCACACTCTGCAAGAATAAATCCACGTTTTATAAAGGGATGCATGGATAATTCCAAACTGTGTCTCTGGGTAAAGGTGTTCATCTTGTCAGAGGCAGGGCTGTGCTTTCTCATAATGTGCCATATCCCTGGCTCCAGCACTGTTTCAGGATGTGTTTGTGTATGTGTGTGGGGGGGATCCATCATCACTTTCACTGCAAGGCTATTGAGTTGAAACTAAAGGCATTTTTTTTTTACATTTTGGATGGATTAAGGGAGATTCTTTTGCCATCTGTGCCCCATAAGGGAAATATCCATTCACTTCCTGTCCCATATCTAAAACAGGAAGCAAGCATAGTAAGGGAATCCCAGCATGTCTCCAGGTCACCAGAACTAGTGTTCCCATTGAAATATTCCCTTCTGTTACTGTTCTAGCATCAACCCAAGATTTGGGATTTTTCTTTTAATTTTTCTTACGATGATAACTGTAATCAGGACAAATATGGTGAATCCTCATAACGGGGGCACAG